CCCATCTTTGACTTGTGGGGCACTGTGGGGACTTATTTATCTTTTGTGGCATCTTCCTTGTTGAACAGTGTCCTTGCTTAGGCTACTGGAACCTGGCTGCCTCTCTAGGGGCACTGATAACTGTTGGGGAGCAGACCCACTGCTGTCCTGGTGAGACTGGTAGTAAGGGCTAAACTGATGAGTCAGGAATATATAAGAATTACTGATGTAAGTTTTTTTAAAAAAAAGGAAACAGAAGGGTAAAAGTAGAGATTTATTAAGCAAAAATACATAACTTAGTTCCCTCAGTGTCTTAGAGGGTATCCCTTATTCATAGAAGTTGCTTAGTGAGCATTCTGTTCTGTTCTAACCCAGTTAGAAAGTAAGAACTGACCCTGACTGTTTCCTGTGTTGAGGCGCTGTTTTGGTCACCTTACAGTGTACTCCTCTTGGACATCATTTGGGCAGAGGCTATGAGTTCACATTTTACATTTGGGACCAAGGCACAGAAGACTGACCTACTCAAGTTTGCGTGGTTGGTGCCCATTGAAGCTGGGTTGGGCTTTGAGCATAGCTATTTCAGGAAACAAAATACCACAGACTACCTGGGTCTGATGTGAAGGCACCGTGTCATCCTGCAAGCTCTCATTGCCTGGGAACCTGGTTGCTTACACACTGAGGAGAATTGCAGGCATTTAAAAGCGGGGATTGGGCTGCAGGAGGTGCTCCTAGAAAGGAAGGGTCCCTCTCTTGGTAGCAGGAGGCTGGTGAGGATGGGGGACCCACCTGGTGCAGAGTCCTCTTGGGGCCAGCAGTCAGGGGTCCAGGCATCACTGCTGTCACACTGGTGCTGAGAACAGATGTGCCTTCAAAGAGTGCTGGGGCCAAAGGACAGTAAGTGGGGAGAGCACCTGCTACGCCAAGCTTCTAAAGCAGGGTAGTAGACCCCAAAAGTTGGGAAGACTTTGTAATGAGGCTTGGCTTGGAAAATGGCAGAGATCCAGAAAAAACTCACCATATTTCTAGGTGGAAAGGAGGGTCTGTGTTTCATGTACAGGTGTGGGATGTGGTGGGATTGATGAGGAGGAAATTTGTAAAAGAGATGGAGAGGGTTCCCTGAAGGGAGAGAATCAGTTGCTTTACATACACCACACACTCACAGCTACACATGCACATGCCATTTGTTCTATATGTACAGACTTGCATACATAAAAAGTCTGCACACCACATGTGTGCCGCACATTTTCACATTGGCTGTATACGACACACACATAACACCACAGTGCACACACATACTTACCAGACATATACATGAACATGAGCACACACCATCGACACACACAAGCCTCGGTCCCTCCCACTGGTGCAGGCCAGTAAAGTCATGGGGGGGTGGTGAGGTGTGGTCTCAACTCTCATACCTGGACACCCCTAGGATGAAGTAGATGCACAGCAGTAGACTTTGCTTTAAATTGTTAACAAGAAGGTAAAGGTTTGGGGACAGGGTGTCCTCACGGTGGGGAGTGGCTCCTTTTCCTTTACAGGACAGCCCCTCTGGACATGTCACAACCTGTTGACTACTGCCTTATAAAGCATTCTTTGTGTGGGTTCTCACTATTCTTTGTGCAGACAAAAACCTTATGTTGGCACTGGAACCCCTTTTATTTGCTGCTCTGGTATTTGCCACTAACTGTTCTCAACTTGGGAAAGTCACTGATCTGAAAGGAAAGAAGACTTATGGTTCCTACAGCAGCACAGGAGGCCTGAGCAGAACTCGCACCTATGCAGATGTTGACAGCTGCCCACAGTGCAGAGTGCAGAGGCCTGCCCTGCTTTCCTTTGGCATGTTCAGTCCTTGTTATCTGGGCTGATTTGCTCATCAGGTGTGGGCGCTGCAGTGAGGCCTGGCTGCTGACTCATGCTCCTTCTCCAGCCTCCCCCTTCCCCCACCTCCAGCACCCCAGCAGCTGCAGGGGTGGCAGAAAGGATGGACTGTGCAGGGGAGGGCTGGGGAGGACCGGAGGATGGGGGGGGGGGCCGAGGGCCACAGCACCTGCACATGATAGGAGACTTATTTTTACACACTGTTGGCTGGAAATAATCAACTTTATTTAAAGTGAATATGGATTCAGTGTTTAAAAAAAAGCACCCAGTGGTGTGTTAGGAGTGACTCCACTGATTCCCTTTGGGGGAGATTGCTGGTCCTTGTAGGGAAAGTGCCCCTAGTCTAAGCAGAGCAGCTCGCACCACCAGAGCCCCTCCATGAGCACCCAGCTGCCCTTTCTATTCTCAGGGGTCATGTGGACCCCAGCAACAAGGATTCTGCCATGTGTCATGGGAAGGAGCTGTCTCCCACTTTGAGGGGGTTCTCAATGTTTATGTCCTGCTCTCAGCCAAGTGCCAGGACCATGTTGGTCTTTTATTTGTATACTTTATTTATATTTTCATAGCTTTATTTTGAGATGGCAGCATATATATGCGATTCAAAAGACCATACAAAAAAGGCTGTGCAGTGAGAAGACGCACCTCTCAGCCCCCTGCCTGTGACTCAGTGTTCATCGGGAGGTACTCCCTGTACGCTCGAGCACCTCTGTGGGCAGATGTGTAGGTGCCAGAGTAGGGGAGGGAAATGCATGGGTGGGTGATGCAGAGGTCCCACTGTGCTCTTGTCCCCTGGACCCCGTTTCGGGGTCAGAATGTGAACGGACTGGAGAGAAAAGATTGCTGCCTCCTGTCCATGCATTCTTAGAGAGCTACTGATATCTGATGTTAAAGATGTCTGTATACTGTAGGAAATCTGGATAATACTTAAACGTTCAAAGAAGAACGTCAGCTGGTTACCCTGCTGCCCAGAGACAACTGAATTTGATGCCTGTGCTTACAGCTTCTTAGAAAATGGCATCTGTACTACATATAAAAGCTGTATAACCTTTGTCAGTTTTATTGCACAACCCTGAACAGGCTTTGAAAACACTTACATGGTTTGTGTGTAGGCCTTGTTATCTCCTTCCTTCCCCCTCACCATGCTGTCTCTCTGGCTCTTGGTTCCCACAGGACTGACATCTCTTCTGGCTTCCTCTGCTGGCGGTTTCAAGTTAGCACTCTGTAATTGGTCACTGCCTGGCCCTGTTAATGTTGAGTGCTGATAATTTACTATCACCAAGGTCTAAATTTGTTATTTACTATGTTTCTTGGGGCTGCTGCAACAAAGTGCCACATATTGGGTAATTTTGATAACAGAAATTCATCCTGCCCTAGTTCTGGAGTCCTGAGTCTGAGAACATGGTGTTGACTCTGGGCAGAATCTGCCTTGCTTCTTCCGATTTCTGGTCACTGCTAACAAATCCTCCATGTTTTTGGTGTTCAGTTGCATGCCATCACCACATGACCATCTTGTCTCTCTGTCTCTTCACACTCATGGTCTTATGCATGTGTCTCCATATGCACATCTCCCTTTTTTTTTTTAAGGACACAATCATATTGAATCAGACCCCAACCTAGTGACTTCATTTTAACTAGATTGCTTCTGTAAAGACCCTGTCTCCAAATCAGGTACCTTCTGAGGTGCTGTAAGTTAGGACTTCAACAAATGAATTTGGGGGTATACAATTCAGCCCATATCGGCAGTCATTTATTAGCCCAGAGATCATGGCCTGTAATCAGCTGCACCATGCAAGTTGTGTCTGTCACACGGAGTGGTAAACATGTTCTGGTCCTAAAACTTAAGCCAGAAAAAGAACGTCCTCATTAACTACTACACCTGACCCCTTTCTGACCAAGGGTGAGGGGCTGAGGGGGTTCATACCACCCAGCTCATTTCTGTGTGTTGTGTGCATAGATACACGTGTGTGCAGTTTGTGTCACCAAACAAGTGAAGTTGTGGCCCATTGCTTGTCTATGGCCCCTCCCTCCAGCTGCATCAGATGGGCACTCTGAGACTTGGGCAAGTGGCGGAACTGCATCTTTAGTTGGGGTGTTTGAACTTATGTGGTGTTGCCTTCCCTGTAAGTGGGCTTCTTTCCTTAATTTAGATCCCAAACTCATTATAATGGACTTGTGACTAATCTTACATAGGGTTTTTACTATTATTAATGCTTCTATGGTTTATGTGTATATATTTTTAAACATCAGCTTCTTAGCTAGGCCTGTCTGCATTTGTGCTGGATTTGTGAGTGTGTACAGCAGGATTTGGCTGACGTGGTTCTCTAGGCTACCTTACAAGCTCACTTTGATAGTGCTTACACTACCTTGGTTAAAATTAGTTGGGCCAAGAGAAGATGGGGGTGAGCTGGGTTAGGACTCAAGCTGAGCAGCTGTGGGTTGAAGTTGTTTTGTTGTGTTTTTTTTTTAAAAGATTTATTTATTTGTGCATACAGAACTGGGGTACAGACCAGAGGCTCAGGGGCAGTGAGAGGCTTCACCAGAGACAGAGTGGGGAGCAGATCAGGCAGATTGATGAAGTATACTGCTGAGGGGAGCAGCGGGTGGGTCAGGAGAGGTCTGCCACACCATGTGGTCACCTCTGGGGCAGGCGGGGATCTAACTTATTCGGAAGTGGCCTGGGCTTCTTAGTGCTGTGCTTCAAACCTGCTGTGCCACCAGGGAGGGCCCTGTTTTGTTTTTTTAAGGTAGGCCTGGCCATTTGGTTTATGAAAAACTGTATTCACAAGCCCCCAGGATTTTATTACAAGGACACTTTGACTAGTGGATTGGTCTGTTACAAACTCAGACGTGCAGAGGACCAAGCTGCTCTGTTGACTGCTGTTGCAGAGGCTTTCCCTAGACTCCAGGGTATTGCACTCAGGACTTCCTCTGAAACTTTCCTTTTTTCCCTGTGATTTCCTGGGAGGCCTGTGGAGGAGAGTCAGAAAGGAAATTGCCCAGAGAGGTGGAGTTTGAGATGCAAAAGCAGGTAAGATTTAGGTAGACCTTGTTTACACCTAGGAACTGTGTGTGGCTGGTGTCTGTGGCTCCTCTCATGCATGTCCTCCTTGGCTATTATCTTACTTCTTGTTTTTTCTTAGGAGACAGGAGCAGTTCCAGAGAAACCCTGACAGCTACAATGGTGCTGTGCGTGACAACTATACCTGGTCACAGGACTATACCGATTTGGAGCTCAAGGTGCCCGTGCCCAAGCACGTGGTGAAGGGCAGGCAGGTAACCACTGGGACACAGGTGTCAGATGTGGACTGTATTGGAGACAAACTGGCCTGTTTCTCTTTCCTTAGTTTCTTTCTTCAGCCACAAACAAAAAACCACTTCTTTTCTTCAGTCATCAATATGCCTCCCACCTACCTTTTAAAGCCTATCAAATCATATATGAGACCATCTCAAGCCTGCTCAGCCTTCCCGTGCTGTAGGACAGCCTCTGAGCTTTTTTTTTTTTTCTTTAGTTATTATATTCATCATATAATTTTGGTTTCTCTTCATATTATTGATTGCATTTAATTTCTACCATACAGATACACATACACACACACACAAGCCTACAGAGTAGGCAACTTCTTCCTATGCTCTAGCATAGAGCAGGGAGCCACCTTAGGTTGGAGCTGTAACACTGTTTGATCGAGTCTGAGACCTCCTTCTCAATGAGCTTCACTGAGTAGAAATTTAACCTTTTTTTTTTTTTTTTTAATGGAGAGAGATTTACTTAGGAACCTTGTTGAGAATAACATGATTATAGGTCATTGTTAAAGGTAGGCTTCACTTTAAAGAAAAAAATTGCTCATGAAATGTGAAATGGGGCATTACATTATTAAAGTTTACATAAAAAAATCCGATATATGTCAAAACTGTCTTTATTTTAGTCTTCATTAGAACCTATAACCTTCCAAGGAAGCAATATCCTTTATATTTTGTAGATGAGAAAGTGAAGTTGAGAGAAGATACTCATTTATCAGGTTGACAAAGAAAATTTGTGATTGTGTCTCCCTTGTTCTTGATAAGCCAGGGGCAGTGTGTTTTGAGGTGAATGAGTGGCTAGATGAAGTGGCAGAGTTGTGTCTGATTCAGCTGTCTGTTCATGCCATTCTCCTTTCAACATACCCTTTGTCGAGATAAGTCCTGCTGGCTTCTTTAAAAGAGAATGTCCTCAGAGCCTGCAAATAGAGCTTGGGTTGTGTGAGCATGTTTTGGGGATGACGGCCATGTCAAAAGGTACAGCTGGTTTCTGTCTCAGTGATGTTTGCACTGGTCTGGTTATGTTTGTGAGGGCAGGCTGGTTAGTCTGAGGCTCTCTTGGCTCCCTTGACTCTACTTAGAACAGGTCTGCCCAGTGCTTGGGAGTTTGGATAGGGCTGGGGCTGCCTTTAGAAGCAGGTGTCATCCCACCAGTGCCACATGATTGCTTTTTCTCTGAAGAGAGCTCCCTAGCCTTGATGACTCCACATAGACATGGATCAGAAAGTTGTGGGCACCCACAGTTGACGGAGGCAACATTGTCCACTCATTTTTCCCCCTTCTTCCTTGTCCCACTTCCATCCCAGTAGGTCTCACCAGGGTTCAGTGGCTCCAAGCCATGCTGACTTTAGGACTCCAGTTCGATAGGGGAACTATAAGGGTCATTACCATAGACTCCTTCTTTAGATGAGCACATTATCTAGTTCTGGTAGGCTAAAGGAATGCAGGCTGAATTTTCTGTTGGAATAGTTTGCCCACCATCTTCTAGGTTAGGGTAGGTCTAGTGTTGATATTTTTTGGTAAGATTGCCTTGTGTATAGGTAAATAAATTATTAAACAATGTTACCATGTTTCATTACTTGGCTAAAATCGTTGCAACTTACTGGTATAGCATATACCAGGTTTTGAACTTCTCCCTCAACTTCTGGAGTTTTCTCTGGAAGGAATAGTATTTGGCTCAACCAAAACCAAGTTATTTTCTCTCTCTTTGACTTAAGAAACCCGGGTTGATGACTGTCATCCTACTTCCTGTAGCCACTGGGGAAATCTTCCCATGGAAAAAGGTGAATCAGGTGTATCTGCTGGAAATTGGGGTTGCCAGTCTCAAGATTCTGCTCTGGCACAAGCAGTGTGCTTGTGGTTCTTACCCTTTATCTCATGTCACTGAAAGACATACCACACAAAAACACTGATTCAAAAAGATACCTGCACCCCCATGTTTATTGCTCCTTTATTTACAATTGGGAAAACATGGAAGCAGCCCAGATGCCCAAAAATGGATGACTGGATTAAAAAGATGTGGTACATATGTACAATGGAATATTACTCAGCAACCAAAAAACAGAAACACATGTCTTTTGCAGCAACTTGGATGGAGCTGGAAAAGAT